CCTCGAGCAGAAGCTTGACCCTATGGGACAGCAGACCTGCTCGGCGCATCCTGCTCGGTTCTCCCCAGATGACAAATACTCTAGACACCGAATCACCGTCAAGAAACGCTTCAAGGTGCTCATGACCCAGCAACCGCGCCCTGTCCTCTGAGGGTCCCCTAAACTTCATGTCTCTTCTGCTACCCCTCAGAGACTTTCCGAAACCAAGCTCTTCAAACTGTGAGCGTTGAAGCCTTCTTAGCACCCTTGCTCTTTGGAATCCGGTTTCATCGTTGCCCTTGATCATGCTTGTGTAAATCCATCATGGTAGCATCCCTCTTTTGAATCTTCTTTGCATATTTTGAATCACTGCTAGGTTATTAAAATGATTTGAAAAGCTCTTATTTTGTATGTTGTGGGGGGAAAGGCGGGGTTTAAAAACAAAAAAGAGGGAGAGGAGAAGGAAGAGCACCCCAGGGGTACAACAAGAGTCCTTGGAAGAAAACCTTCAGTCACTGCTGTAGCAGTAGTGCTGTGCGTGATAGGCTGTTGGGGAACAGGAAAAATGGTTCAGAATCTTCCACAACTGTCCCCATTCACTGAAAAATACCCTTGTTCTCCTTTAAGTAATTTCCTGCCCCTTGAAATGACGTTTTGACTTAAAATGGAGGAGTTGCCTGAAAAATTACAGCAGGGGCGCCTGGGTGGCTCAGGCGTTAAGCATCTATCTGCCTTAAGCTCAGGTCATGGTCCCAGGATCCTGGGATCAAGCCCCACATGGGGCTCCCTGCTCATCCGGAAGCCTGCTTCTCCCTCTCCCACTCCTCCTGCTTGTGTTGTCTCTCTCTCTCAAAATAAATAAAATCTTAAAAAAAAAAAAATAATAGCAGCTATATTGTGGAGGGCATGCAGTGAATTGGAAGTCAGGAGACCAGGATTTTCCCCTCTACATACCTTTGAGAAAGTAATCAGAGTAGTCTCATTTTTCTCATCATTTCTAAGCCTGTTCCAACTTGAAATTTGATAGGATTCAGTGGTGGATAACAATATATCTACACTGTGTTGCAAATAGAACCGTTGTGAATATAAATGCCTTGATATTTATTTACTCCCCCTCTGAAAATATTCCCAGGTTTTTAGTTCTCTCCATCAAGGAATTGTCTTCTCACATACACCTAACTTTATAATATTCTCCTTGGCAGCCAGCTGCTTTGTGGAACTCTACATGGATCTTAATTTAGAAGATGAGGTATGAGAGATTCAAGCAGGGATTTTGCTGTTTTTTAAGCTACTGTTGGGGTTAATTAAAAAACAAACAAAAAAAACCCCCGGGAGATTTTTTTTTTTTAAAGATTTTTTATTTACTTATTGAGAGAGAGAGAGAGAATGGTAGAGAGCATGAGAGAGAGGAAGGTCAGAGGGAGAAGCAGATTCCCCACCGAGCAGGTAGCCCGATGCCGGACTCGATCCAGGGACTCCAGGATCACGACCCGAGCCTAAGGCAGTCGCTCAACTAACTGAGCCACCCAGGCGCCCCCCTGGGAGATTTCTTAGGACAATTCATAGTAGAGGGATGATGAGGCAAAATACTGTATATAAGCTTTCAAGAAATGCTGGCTTGCTTCTTCCTCTCTTTGCTAAGTTAATCAACTCATTATTTTCCAATCTTCCCGTTTGTGGCTTTTGACAATGGATTTGAATGTTTGCCTAGTGCCACTGATTTAAAAATTGCTTTATGGAGATTGTGTTCTAATTATACAATCTTTTTCTACTGCATCAAGATTCTAGATTCTAGAAGCAGATGTAACTTAAATTGGCATAAATTTAATTTATCAGCACGGGTCCTGGAAAGGGATAGATAAACATTTCTCTTGGACTCTGATGTCTGACTGTCTCAGCAGAAAAGTTGAGGGTAGTTGCTGACTGCTGGAAAAAAAAAATCTCTCGACTTGGGTGATAATTAATAGAAGACAAATGATTTTTGAATCACTTATGGGAATGGTAAAATGAAATTCTTGTTTCCTGTCAAGCAATTTTTAATTTCTTAGCATGTTCACTTACAGGGATTTTAAAGTGTTACCCTGTCTTATTAAGGGGACAGTGATGGAAGAAATGTTAATTCTGCAATAACTGGCAAAAGGATCTGCTATGGAAACTTCTTAAACACCAAAGTCAGTAAATGAACTCTGCTAGCAATGTTTTGTAATTTGACTGTAATTTTGTCTTTATAAGTAACCCACTACCTGCCCCCACCCCTCCCCAAAAAGGATTACTGTTGTTCCATGCTACCTACCTGCTGTGTAAACTGAAATGAAAAGACTTTGATCTGGAAATATTCCTAATTGAAATAGAGGAGAAAAGGTAGACTGGTTTAAATATACCAAGGACTTTTTCCTTAAAAGGTTCTCTGGATATTAACATCTTCTGAGATATGCTCAGAAACGGAAGAAGAGAGTTTTAAGAGCTGTAGTATATGGGTATTAGGTAGTATATGTAAGTGAATGAAAACACACTGTGGTATGAAACGAAATTGGATGTTGCAGAAACCCACCATTTCCTTATGAAAATGAGAAAGTCTATGAGAGCAGCGGGGCCTGGCTGAGCCCAGCAGGGTCAGCTGGGGAGAGTGCAGGATCCATGGCCACCTGGAGCCGGGGTGCTCTGCTGTGCTCCATCATGTCTTAAACATGCATCCTGACTTACCTCCACACTGGCACACTGAAGAATGCAGTGTCTTGATAAACTTGCTTCAGGAATGTCACAAACACCACAGCATTCTGAAATTTTTTTTTTTTTAAAGATTTTATTTAGTTACTTATTTGACAGAGCATAAGCAGGGGGAGTGGCAGGGAGAGGGAGAAGCAGACTCCCACTGAGCAAGGACACCGATTTGGGACTGGATCCCAGGACTCTGGGATCATGACCTGAACTGAAAGCAGACGTTTAACTGACTGAGCCACTCAGGCGCCCCTATTTTATTTTATTTTATTTTAGACCTGGAGAAAACGATGAGGTACTTTTTTACTCCATTGCCAGTGTTTTCCCTACTACTGCCACCAGAATATTTTTCTTAGCATGTTTACTTAACATACAAATAGAAGTGTTAAGTAAATTTTGACTCATCAATATTTTGTCTGAAAGTTATTTCCTGTAGCTTTGATCGAGACATTTAAATTTAACAATCTGTGCCCTGGCTTTGCCTGGGTCCTTACACCTCACAAGTGGAAATGTTTACACATCATCCTTAGCAATAGATCAGAACTGTATTGAAAACCTGAGCCAGGAAATTCCCTTTTATCAAATGACACATAAAATCCAAAGTCTGGTTAAAAAGATCCGGTAATAAAAAAAAAAAAATTTTTGAGATATACAATGTGTAAATAAGGACTAAAATGTTTTAAAAAAAACAGAAACAAAACAAAAACACAAAACAAGAAAGATCCAGGTAACAAAATGAGAAATAAATTCCCATTTAAAATGTGAACTACCTGGGGCACCTGGGTGGCTCAGTCAGTTAAGCGCCTGCCTTCAGCTCAGGTAATGATCCGGGGGTCCTGGGATAGAGCCCTGTGTCAGGCTCCCTCTCCTCCCAGCTTGTGCTCTCTTTCACTATCTGTCTCTCTCAAATAAATAAATAAAATCTTTTTTAAAAACAAGATAAAATGTAAGCCTCCTTAAAGTTTGATTCTTTCTCTTTAAAGACTATGATTAACAACTCTGGCTCATAGCTTCCTGAGAAAGCAAGAAATTCACTTCCTGAGGTATTAATGTTCTTCTCAGGCAAGCCTGTTTGTCATTCAAATCTGAGGCTTTCTCTCTTTTTTTTTAATGAGGTATGCCTGTAATTTATTTTTCAGATTCCTCCACGGGATTAAAAAGTCTTTTTCACATTGCATTGTCATGCTCCCTGCTCTTGGTCCTCTTTTCCATGTACTCATTCTTCAAGCATTTTCTCATCTCCTGACTGAGGTCATTGCAATGACCAAAAAAATACCAGAATGCAGGGGCACCTGGGTGGCTCAGTCAGTTAAACGTCTGCCTTCAGCTCAGGTCATGATCCCCAGGTCCTGGGATCGAGCCCCTTGCTCAGCAGGGAGACTACTTCTCCCACTACGCTTGTGTGCATGCGCGCTTTCTCTCGCAAAAATAAATAAAATCTTAAAATTTAAAAAAATTTCTTTAACTGAACCTTCGGTCTAACTAGAAAGTGAAAATAGCTTTTTTCTCCAGCCTCATTGAGGTATCATGACCAAATTGTATATATTTAAGGTGTACAACATGAGTTGATATAAGCATACATGGTAAAAGACATTTTAAGGACAGGAAAGAGAAAAATTTAGCACAAAATGAATATGATTTGACAATACGGTGCTTTAAAAACAGACATCTGCTTAAAAATTTCAGTAGGGTCATACCTAGGTATATGGTATGGGAAGTTTGTGATTTTTAAAGAAATTATGAACGGTATTTTCAGAGACACTTTTATTAAAAAGAGATGGTTTTTGAGGTTCTGAGGGCAAGGGGCATCGTCTGCTCCCCCAATACCTCCAGAGTGAGTTCGTGCAACACAGCGGGACCCAGAAGGAAAGGGGTTTGTTTTCTCCAGTGCACGCAGCTCAGGCCCCAACACTCAACTACAATTCCCATCTTCCTCCGGGCCTCGCACGTTTGGCTCCTCGGTCCCGCTGCGACCCCGGCAGCGCATGCGCGCAACCTTTTCCGTCACCTTGCAGACTGCAGAGGCTGGGCGGGGCTCCTCGACGCTCGCGGGACGGTACCGCCCTCCGGCCGCTCCCCGAGGCTTCTCCTCGGACCGTTACCCTCGAATGAGGAACGAGCTGGGAGGGAAGGGAGGGGCTGCGGCGGCGCTGCCACAGCCCGCCGGGCCCGGGGCCGGGGGTGGCGAGGTCACGTAACGGCTGCTCTGGCGTCCGCCCGGGGAGGGGGCGCCCTCCCCGGCAGCCGGAGCCCTCCTGCGCGCGCCGCGGCTCCGAAACAGTTACCGGCTCGTAAACAACAGCTGCGCGCGCACCCGCATCAGCTGGCGCCGGGATCCCGCACCTGCGACCTCCTCCTCCCCTCATCCCCGCCGCCCCCTCCTGCTTAACCCGAGCCAGCCTGCGAGGCCATCTCCTCTCTTGCTAGGACCCGAAGGAAGAACGGCGAGGGGCTGACCTGCGCCGCGGCCCTGGTGGGGGAGAAAGCGTCCTCCGGCAAAGGGGTGGCCCGTCCTGTCACACGCAGGAGAAACCCAGCGAGCCGACCGTGGCCTCGATGGACTAGCAACGACCTGCCACGACCCTGAGTTGCAGTCCGAGGGATCTTGATCCGCTCGCTAGCAGCCTCGTTCCAGATCCTAGGAACCGTTCTGCCAGAAGAGCGGGTGGACCACCCCCGCAGACCTCTTGGAGACGGGAATCCGCTCTGCCCCTGCATCCTCTGCTCACCCTTTTCATTCTCTTCTATCCAGTAGCGTGGGGTTTTTTCCCGTTATGCATGCGCATCTCTCCCACCAGACCCAGGTGGATTATTGGCCTCCCAAACATCGGCTGGCTCTACACACACCACCCAGCCAGACCTGTGGGGTATTCACCTGATACACAACAGGTGGCCGGTGTACACCGTTTCGCAAATTGATCTGTGCTATATTCATAAGGGTGGGCCTGCGCGCACTTTGCTCAACTAGAACCGTGGGACGTTTACCAGATAAAAGACTTAACTACCTCGGCGGAAACCTGGGGGTCGAGGGGAGAAAGGCTTCACCTGCTTCTCTGAGACCATGGCACTGAGCCTGCAGCCCTGGACCAGGGGAGACAGCTAGATCACTCTTCTTTCGGAAGGAACGAAGTTCCACGAGATTGGCATCGTTTTGTCTTTTTTTTTTTCTTCCTTAAATATTTACTGGTAGTGCACTTTCTAGGATAGTCCGTTTGAATTCTGAGTAGGATTCTTATTTGGGACTTTTTGTGTGGTGTAAATCAAGGTTATTGAGGGTTTTTTAAAAAGTTATCTTTTCTATTTTTGCAATCAAAAGTAAGTAGCATAGGAGGAAGGATTTTGCGGGGTTTTCCTTTTTTCTTTGTTCTTATAAAGGAAAAGAGAATAATGCATCCTCCAGAAACCACCACCAAGATGGCTTCAGTTCGGTTCATGGTGACACCAACGAAGATCGATGACATTCCAGGTTTGTCAGATACCAGCCCGGACCTCAGCTCCCGATCCAGTTCCCGAGTAAGATTTAGCTCACGGGAAAGTGTGCCTGAAACAAGCCGTAGTGAGCCTATGAGTGAGATGTCTGGAGCCACCACTTCACTAGCAACTGTTGCACTGGATCCAGCTAGTGACCGGACTTCTAACCCCCAGGATGTTACGGAGGGTAAGTGGGAACACAGATGACAAGATACTTTAATTACTGGCTTATTTATCTGGTTGATTTCCATTATACAGTAATCATCAGGAACCGAGCAATCTCTTTTTGAGATGCCTAGGAACCCTTTGGAATAATGGTTAGCACGATGACTGTCTGTAGTAACGACTTTGGCATGTGGGAAAGAAAGTAGATTTCTATTTTTACTTCATTTTTGCCTCCTTGGAATTGAAATGAGTGGTTTTGGTTAAGGGTGAATATCAAAGAATTTAATAGTTTTTCAGCGCAGAGAATCCTGAATTGTAAAATTTAGTGGAGAGCAACCTTTGGGGCCCTATTACAGTCTGCTTTTAAGGCTAGTTACTAGCAGTAGTTATTGATCACCTTTAGTTATTAGCATTCCTACAAAGACTTCGGATATTGTATCACAAAATTCTTTTTAAAAATGTATATTTTACAGAGACACTGGTTCAAGAAGCTAAGTTCACGTGAGGCTGGTGGATCTATTGTGCTATCCTGTGGAATGGAGAAATTCTGAAGAGGCTTTTAGGGCCTGATTCCCATATAATTTTGTAAAGAGGCTTTTAGGGCCTGATTCCCATATAATTTTGTAAAGAGGCTTTTAGGGCCTGATTTCGACACAATTTTTTCACTTTGAACTTTATATGGGATGTTTTGAGTCTCTGTAATCAGGAAGTAGTGGTACACAAGCCACTTCTGACTTACTTCACCACTGCAGACCTTTAGCTGTCTAAACGAATTTGTGATAGCTGATTTGGAAGTTTTTACTGTATTTAGTGGGAAGAGGTGATGGAAGAGAGAAATGAGATAAAATGGAAAGGTCATAACACTTTTCAGACTGTGGGGTAGAAAAGTTTGAGAATTGCTGTACTGCTTCATATGTTTAGTTTTGTGCTAAATTCTGACGTAGATATGTCAAGTAATGAAAATTTCTCTTAAGAAATTTAAAGACTCTTAAAATGGTATTCTACCCAAATTTGAAAACCATAGCTTCAGCTACTGACTTGACATTTTCCGGTGTCAGGAAATACTGTTCCTCTTAACCTAAAGGGTGCAGGAAACCAGAATGATTTTAGTTCCTTATTTCAGTTTGTGTCTTTGAATGTTTGGAAACAAGGTAGATTTGGTAAAGTTTGTAGTACCCGAATTCACTTGACTGACTTATTTTATGGAGATATGGACTTATCTATTTACAACTTCTTGACAAACTTTATACCATGTACCATGGTATTAAAGTTACATCATGGAATAAAAATAATTTATCATTTTCTCTTCCTCACATTCTAAATTGTTGTTTTAGTTTATATCCATCATACTATATTTAGGTTGTAAAAATACCAGGTATAGACTATAACTGTTAATTTTTTTATTGCTGTAATTGTCGATAGACAATTTATAGCTAAATGTTGTTAGACTTGTGACTTATATGTTATGGAACTGTACTTTTAATCTGTTTAAAAAGTGGACTTGAGTAATGTGTTAGCCTTGTGGAACAGGATCCTGATCCAGGCTGCTGTTCTGACCTTATTTACAAGCATTCTTTACAGTATAAAGCGGTGTCATTTTACATGATGGGGTAAAACTGGGACATGTCTAGGCGAAATCTATGCTGTCTTAGGTGGTTATAGAAGTTAAAGCTTGGCTCTCTTTCTAACGTAGTCATTAATGTTTAAATACTCTGGTACCAAATGAAAGAGAAATCAATAGTCCAGCCATTAGATTGCAATTTCCACTATATTCTCAGGAAACTAGAGATAGAAAACTATTTTCCAGTATATTCTCAGGAAACTAAAATAGGAAACTATTTTACTAATGACCTATTTTTTTCTCTTTCTATCTTCTAAAAGAAATTCTTATGACAACTATAATCTTATGATATATTTTCCCCACTATCAGAGGGACTGGTCAAAAATACAATTATTTCGTCTTTGGCTTCTTAATCTGTGGATACCCTTGTTAGACTTAGATATAGATCTTTACAGGATGCTGTTGTCAGGAAAATCAAGGACACAGTGATCTACACTTGTCTCTGGGCTGGCATTGTTTTAGGAAAACAACACTGCGTTTTCTGCAGTTGATTCTGTCTTTAAGCTCATAGTGTATTTCAAAATTGTGTTTGCTATTTTAATATTTAGAATTCTGTGACTTTTTGGCCTTTTATACATCCTTCCGTGATTGTGACATTGGTATGATTATCTCTCCTTTCTCCACAATTCCCATGCCTCCCACATTTCTTCCACATTTAAGCTTCCCACCTTAAATTTGTCATATGCTTTTTACTCACATTACATTGCACAGTGCGGGGTGAGGGGGTGGGGGTGGTGTGAAACAGGAAGTTTTAAATACTTATTCTATCTGTTTTAATTTTTTCTTCTGTTGGCCTTTTGAGTAGATAATTATTTTTCTGTTATCAAAGTTTTTTTTTAAGATCTTACTTATTAGAGAGAGAGAGAGAGCACACAAGTAGGCAGAGCAGCAGGGAGAGGGAGAAGCAGACTCCCTGCTGAGCAGGGAGCCCGACCTTGTGGGGGCTCCATCCCAGGACCCTGGGATCATGACCTGAGCTGAAGGCAGACGCTTAACTGACTGAGCCACCCAGGCGCCCCTGTTATCAAAGTATTTATAATTGTCCTTTTGGTTTGTTAAGGTTCCCTTAGAATTGATGGGACTGTGCAGTTGGTAAATAAAAATAAGAATCTTAGTCTGTACTTGCTTATACATGAACAGTGCCTTAAAGATACCAGGAACTATTGAGAGTGGATAGCTTTGGGGAGTTATGAAAATAGAGTGGAGGGTGGGAACTTCCCTTTACCTAAACAGTTCAGAAGGGCATGTACAATTTTTTATATCGAGGGTATATCACTTTTATAATACAAATTTTAAGAGGCATAGCATGTTAGGGAACCTCAGATGATGAAGAATTGAATTCTGGGGGAAAAAAATTGAATTCTGGTCAAACTCCATTTTAAAAACTGAGGAAACTAAGGCTCACAGAGATAGTTATTTGTAGCTCACAAAGTTGCAAAGCCAAGACTGAAGCACAGGCCTCCTGACTTATATCCAGTGCTTTCCATATATCATTTTGTCTCTGCCATAATGAACATTTTTTACATTTGCCTCATAACCATCTGGCTATCTTAAATGATTGTTGAAATAATAATTCCCAAAAAAGAGCAGGGAACATATTTTTATATGTCTTACACAGTATCTAATACATTTCATCCTTTTACAATTTAACACATACTCCCTGAGGCTCTGATATTTGTGAGGCGCTCCAGTAGGAATTATAGGAAATCTGTAGATGAGATAGTCTCTGCCTTTGGAGAGCTTGTGGTCTGGTGATGAAAATGACAAGAACCCTTTATCCATTCCTTCGCCATTTACTGAACACTTTTTTTAAAAAGATTATTTATTTGAGAGAGAGAGAGACAGAGTACAAGCAGGGGGGAGCAGCAGGCTGAGGGAGAAACGATGTGGGACTTGATCCCAGGACCCCTGGATCACGACCTGAGCCGAAGGCAGACGCTTAACCGATTGAGCCACCCAGGCGTCCTTACTGAACACTTATTAGGGGTCAGGTCCTGTTGTCAGTGTTAAGGATGCAGGACCAAGAAAAAGAATCCAATAACTATTCTACAGAAAGTTATGATCTAATAGAGAAAACAAATGTTCATATAAATCATAATGTTGTATAAGTGCAACAATAAAGATAGAGCAAAATACGAAAAAAGGAAAAATGCAGCCCACTGTAGAATAATATAATAGATACAGCAAAGGAAAATGATGAACTGTGGTAAAAAATGGAGACAGAGACTGGAGGACTTGGTGGGGTAAGGTGGTAGTGGAGGATGTAGAAGGCTTAAAGATTGTGGTCGAACAGTTGGATGTTAGAATTAATGGTTTCAGAGTTGGGGCAGTTCCAGTGTTAACATGATCTAGTGTGCAGCCTTGGGAGTGGGTTTTTGAAGTGGAGTAAAAGTAGAAGCCCTTTAAGTCAAGGAGCCCTAAATACACCAACTTCAAGGGTGGCTGTTACCAAGTTTTTATTGGGGGGTATTAGGTGGTAGAGATGCAGAAATAACTTAGATAAGTCCCTTCTTCAAAGAGTCACCTTCTCTCTGAAACTTTTTCTGATTCAACCCCACACCCAGATAATAGATCATTTCTTTATATCCTTATATCCCTTATACAGAGTATTACTATAGCACCTATTTCACTTAATTTTGTTGTTTTTGTTTATATGTTATTTTTCTCAATTAGGCTAATAGGGTTCTCATGGACAGGGACACAAAGTTGTCTCTGTATCATCAGCACCTAGTATGGTGTGTGATGCTACATATAATTTGCACTCAATAAAATATATATTGAGTTGAAGATCGTCTAGACTAAAAAAGATAGAAATCTAAACAAAAATTAAAAACATACTATGATAAAGGCAAATGAAATGTACCCAATAGAGCAGTGATGCTTCATCTGGCTGCATGTTGGAATGATCTAGAGATCTTTTTAGAAAATACTTCTGCCCCTTATCTGGGGATTCTGATTTAATTGCATCAGTAGTTTTTAAAAGCTTTTCAAAAATCTGATTTCTAACAGAATGCCAGAGTTGAAGACCAGAGCCCCAAAGGAAAGAGTGATTAATGCTGTACCTATGGGAAGACCTTTCCCACCTGATTGGGATTTCACTGAGTGGATAGGCACAGCAGGCTTTTCCTTAAATGTTAGTAGGTCTAATAGAATAGAATATTTATCTGCCCTTGGAGCCATTACACTACACGTGTGTTTAGCCTATTTGATCTACCAATTCTATGTGTTATTGGTAGGTCTCATAAATGTCTCTCATGCTAAGGTTAAATCAGAATAATGATTGATTAAGCAACTTTGAAAGTTATCTAGTTTTTTTTTCATAAGAACATGTTTCAAAGTACTAAGTACTTTTCTATACTTCTCCAAAAAATTTCTAATTTTTTGCCCCAAACCAAAATAAG